CCAAGTCGTTCTGGTAATGTTTGCTCGGAGGGTGAAGTATCTATTAGTTTTCACGATAGAATTTATAGAAGGGTGGATAGAGGTTTGGCCAAAGAATTTTTGGATTAAGAAAGTGCAACTTTTGAGTATTCACACCCATCTGTTAAGGCAAGAAATGAAGCTGCTGCTACTAGGGAGGTTTGTGATATGTTGATGATTTCTTTTAAAGGGGGGAACATGTACTGGAAAAAGAGATTATGAAGATGGAGTTGAATGGGACTTTAAGGGGAACCTGAGTGTTATCTGGTTGATAAGGGTTTTCTGATATTCAGTTTAAATGTCACAACTCAAAATGTTTTCCTGGAATGTTAAGAGGCTTGGGAAAAAAGAAAAAATTCGAGTAGTAGCAAGACTAGTTAGCAGAGTAAAACCGATCATTATGCTTTTACAGGAAACTAAATTGAATAATTGCCAAAATGGAATATTGAGGAAGTTAGGGGGCATTTTATTGAAAGGTAGAAGCTTTCAGCCAACTGTTGGATCTGCAAGTGGCTTAATCTATTTGTGGAATGAATTTTTTTTTGAAGTCAGTAGGGAATATAAACACAGTAGATTCATTGCAATATTAGGGAAGTTTAAGGTGGTAAATTTTGACTGTGTTATTATTAATGTGTATGGTCCGTCTGTAGAGGCTGAGAAGGAGCTTTTTAGAGAGTTGATGTGTTTTGTGCAAAGTTTAGACTTGCCAGTATGCCTAGGGGGGATTTCAACGCCTATCTAGATCCTGAGGAGAAAATTGGAGTAGCTCAGAATTGACATTCAATGGACTTATTTTCCTACTTTGTCCAAAATCTAAATCTTATGAATCTACCATTAGTTGGAGGGAGATTTACTTGGTGCAATAATAGAGAGTCTTCCACTTGGATAAGACTAGATCGGTTTTTAATAAGTGGTAGTTTCCTTCATTGTTTTCCAAAAGTAAATCAAAAATTGCTACCAAAATCCCTATCCGATCATAATCCAGTGTTGCTAGAAGAAGAATTCAAAAACTGGGGACCTAAACCTTTTCGATTTTTCAACTACTTGTTAGAGGAAGATGGGTTTGCTGGGGTGGTTCAGAATTCTGTTTATAATTTGAAGAAGGATAATGGTCGAAGGGTTTTGTTTAGCATACTTCAAGGAACAAAGATAGTGATTAAACAGTGGCCAAATAGAAACCGAATGGGGATTTCCGAACAGATTTCAGAATTGGAAACAAGGATAAATGATTGGGAACTGAACTCACAAGCTGGGGGGATTTCTGCACAAGATTGGGGTCAGCTACTGGTTTTGAGGAATGAATTGTGGAAATTGCATAGAAAGGAGGAAAGTATATGGCTTCAGAAGTCAAGAATGAAGTGGATAAAGGATGGGGACAGAAATACCATATTCTTTCATTTATGTACTCTTAATAGAAACATGGTAAACACCATTTCGACATTGAAAGTGGCTGGTGAAGTAATTGCTAATCCGATTCAGATTAGAGCCGTTTTCTCAGATTATTTCAAGGTCAATTATAATGTAAAAGCAACATTGGAGGTGGACGAAATTAATCTGAATTTCGCTAAATTGACAAATGAGCAATAGGATGGTTTAGAGGTCGAATTTTCTGAACAGGAAGTGTGGGAATCAATTTTCTATTCGGACAGTGTCAAGGCACCTGGTCCGGATGGATATACTATGGGTTTTTTTAAAAAATTCTGGCCTATAATGAAGGATCATATTATGAATTTTGTTCGAGATTTTCACAGAGGAAGGAAATGGTTAATCACTCCTTTATAACTCTAATCCCCAAGAAACTGAATCTGGAGGGCATTGAAGACTTCAGACCTATAAGCCTTGTTGGCAGCCTATACAAAATAATTTCCAAAGTGCTTTCGAAAAGGCTTGTTTCAGTTATTAAAGGCATAGTATTCCTGGTCGACAGTTGCTTGACTGTGTTTTTTTGGCAAATGAAGGCATAAACTATTGGAGGAAACAAGGGAGGTATGAAGTTGTATTCAAAGTTGATTTCCGTAGGGCTTATGATTCGGTTGAATGGCCAATTTTATTGAGATTAATGAAGGTTATGGGTTTTGGTGATAAATGGATTTCATGGATTGAATGTTGTATTTCTTCAGCCTCAATTTCGATGTTAGTGAATGGATCTCCAACAGGGGAATTCCACATTAGTAAAGGGTTGAGACAAGGCTGCAATCTGTCCCCTCTTTTGTTTAATATAGTTGGAGAACTTTTAAATTTAATGCTGATCAAGGCTGCTAATTTGGGTCTTTTTCAAGGGTTCAGTATTGGTAGGTCTGAAAATACCTTCCATTTGACACATTTACAGTTTGCATATCATCTAATCTTATTCTGCAGAGATTCTCCAACGCATATCTTAAATATTAGAAGAGTTTTGAGGGTTTTCAGCTTAATGTCAGGGCTGCATTTAAATATGTCTAAGAGCACTTTGTATGGTGTTAATATGGAAGATGACATGCTAAAAGATTGGGCAAAGGAAGAGGGCTGTGGAGTGGGGTCTTTTCCTATGACATATCTTGGTTTACCACTTGGTTCAAAGAAGAATTCAGAGGTTATGTAGGAACCAGTAATCCAGAATTTTAATAAAAGATTAGCAGGATGGAAAGCTAATTCTTTGTCGATGGCTGGAAGACTTGTGTTGCTTAAATGAGTGTTATCCTCCTTGCCGATGTTTTACCTCTCTATTTTCAAAATTCCATACAAGGTGACTCAAAAGTTGAATTATCTGATGGCTAAATTTCTTTGGGGAGAAGATCAAGCTAAGAAACGAATTCACTGGGTGAATTGGAAATCAGTTTGTCAACCATTTGAAGAGGGTGGGTTGGGAATCTTAGACCTGAGTTTGATGAATAGAGTCTTGTTTGGGAAATGGGTTTGGAAATTCACAAATGAAAAAAACAGTCAGTGGAAAAAGATATGCTGTAAAAATAACGTTAGCAACTTGTCTCTTTCAATAACAAAGTTGTTTCACCACTAGATTCATGGATATGGAGAGGTATTCTGAACAATTATGTGAAAAAGGATCAGATTGGAGACTGTTTGAGAGCTAATTCAAAGTTCCAATTGGGGAATGGTAGGTCGATAGCATTCTGGAATGATGTTTGGGTTAATAATTTGACCTTAAAAACTCAATTCCCCAGAATTTTTGCTCTATCGACTAATAAATGGGGGAAAGTAGTTGAGTTTGGTGGTTTTGAAAATAATGTATGGGTTTGGAATATTCAGTTAAAAAGAAATTTATGCGACTGGGAATTGGATCAGTGGATTGCCTTAATGCCCTTGATTGATAATATAGTTCTGTCTGATTCAGTGGATGACTTTCTTGCTTGGTCGGGAAAGGGGGATGGACTGTTCTCGATCAAGTCTTGTAGATTGATGTTATCTTGCGGTTTTGAAGGAAGTTTCGAGTGGGATAAGTGGGTATGGTCTGGATTGGCTCCTCCAAGAGTTGAAACATTTATTTGGCAGATTTGTCATCGTAAATTGGCAGTTAGATGAGAGTTGAAGAAAAGAGGGATTCCTTTGGATGATGTGCTTTGTCCTTTATGCCATATTCATGAAGAATCAATAGGACACCTGTTCTTCTCTTGTTCTGTTGCAGGAGAGATTTTGAATAAATTTCTAAGGTTATGGGATATTTCTACTGTTTTGCCTCAAGACCCAATTTCCCTTCTTTGTTCTTGGTCGTATCTAAGGCAGAATTCTCCTATTTGGAGTTTTATCTCGGCTGTTGTTTTCTGGTAAATTTGGAAGGCTAGGAATTTGGTAGTGTTTGAGAACGGGAATTTTGACAGTTATGCTCTATACTTCATCGCCATATTTTGGCTGGCTAAATGATATTTAGCTAAATACCCTACTGTTCGTATTCAGACAGATTTACTAGTAGAGGATCCTTCGCTGGCAGATAAGTTTCATAATTCTTCTTTCACAAAGAAGGTTAATTGTTGGATTCCACCTCCACCGGATGTGTTTAAATTCAATGTTGATGGGGCAGTAAGAGATGGGTTGCAAGGTGGAATTGGAGGTATTTTAAAAGATTCAAACTGTTATACTTTAGCCACTTTCTCTAATGCTGTAGGGTATGGTCCTCTTACTTTGGCAGAATTGAAAGCTATTAAGGAAGGAATTGATCTTTTCTATTCCTCTGTATGGGCTAAAAAGGAAAGACTTATTATAGAGACTGATTGTAAAAATGCAGTGGAATGGATTTCAAAGCCGCACTCTGCCCCTACATTCTTCAGTGCTCTGGTGGAGGAAATTGGGGCATCAATTTCTGATAAGGATACCTTTCTTAGATTGATTCCTAGGAGTTGTAATATGGAGGCCGACATGCTAGCTAAGGAGGGGATTGGCTGATTATTACAGGCATATTGTTTAAATGTTTTGTGTTCTTCTTCGGGCTTTGTATAAGCTTAAAGCTTGTAATGGTGTTGTTAGGGTGGTAAACAGGTCAACCAAATAGAGGTTGTTGCCTTAGCTAAGTTGGATTAGGCTAAGTTAGTTTGTTGTATATGGTTGTTTACGGGTGTTTTTTGGTTTTCTGTTTTTGATGGGGGTGTTCTATCTGGATGTATCTTATGTTATTTCATATGTTGAATGAAATCCTAAGGCACTCTTTTCATCCTTCTGATTAAGGAGCTTACTTACAAGCTCCATTGATCAAGAAGGGGGTTTTTAACGAGGCCTTCAATTCTTATAAAAAAAATGATTTTTATGATTTCGTACTTAACATGTTACTTATTATTATGCTTTAATCAAACCATAATTGTTTGATTACATCAACTTCCAATGAGCCTGTAAAGCTCTTCCATGGTGCTTTATTCAATGAATTTTTGTATTGATATTCTTGTGTCACTCCTTTTTGTCTCTGTTTTGGTTTTATATTTGTTGAAATCATTTATTTTTGTTTGTAAGAATGGATTTTCCCCTTATATTTCCTTTCCCTCTTATATGCAAATTAGGAAGATCCTCTTGAGGAGTTGAAGAAAGAACTACAAACAAGGCCCACAGAAAAAATGGTTGATGATTTGCGCAAGAAAGTGAAAATTTTGCAGGTACAATCATCCTTTAAAGGGTTTCTTTATTATATAGATCTCCATTGGCTAATTACTTTTCGTTAGCTGCCAAATTTAAGACTTTAATGCGATCAAGTTTTCTGAAAGATGATTCTTGCATACTTGGAACTTACCAATTATGTTAGCTAACTAATTCTCTTGCTTGTTATGATTGTACTGTGACTGATGATAGTAACTTCCAATGATATAAAAATTAGAAGAAACTCCTTTGGTTGTTGCTTTTGCTAGCTCGCTTTTTGTTTTTAAAACAAAATTCGGAAGATTAGCTTTAATTTCTTGACGTAAAGCATTATGATTTTTGAAGATTAAGTTGAAGTAAATCTTTTTTTTTATAGGAATTGAAGGCCTTGTTAAAAACCTCTTTCATGATTAAAGGAACTTATATAGAAACTCCTTAATCAGCAGGAGGAGGAAAAGAGTGTCTTAAGATTTCATTAACCATAGAAAATACACGATACAACCAGAGAGCCACCCCCAATATAAACAAAACACCAAAAACAACCTCAAACAATTCTTCTAGAACCAGCCTAATCCAACAAAGCAACAACAACAACCTAAAAAACATACTAGTCAAACTCAAAGCCTAAATTTGGCCTGATAGGCACTCAAACAAAACAAAACAATCATAATAAAAGCCAAGGGTAACAACTGACTAAAACCATAGAAGCCAACTTCTAACTCTAAAGCCACTTAGCTTTCTCATGATAAAAAGTAGTTGACTATATTCCTATATGTAATGGGGTGAGGGGGAGGTAAGGTAGTAGGCTGCCCCCAACGCCAGGTTAAGAGCAGCTTCCGTGAAAGACCTCCGGCAGTCAGAATTTATGAATTGCCCACCGTGGGACTTGAACCATCCGAACTTCCAGCTCCAAAACAATAAGCGTGATGCAAATCACCTGAAACTTCTACTCTTTCCCCCACCATAGTTGATACCTTGAATCCAAGAACTATCAACACAGTTGATAGCCTTCCTCGCGTCCTCCAGTCTAGTGAAACAAACAAAACCAAACCTACTTCCTCCCTTGCTTCTTTTATTAGGAATGAAATAATCAACCACCTCGCCATATTTATCAAAAAATAACCAAATACCTTGGTAATGAAAACTCTCAGGAATGTTGAAAATGATTACTGTGACACAATTTTTCCTAACAGGAACTCTCACCTTACTCGCCATCAAGAGAAATGAAAAGGAATAAAACAGAAAAATTTATCTAAAACACCTGATTTTTAGAGAGAAGGAGGAGCTTCTCTCTCTCTGCGTGGTCGTTAGGTTGAAGTAAATCTTCTTAATAACAAAATGTACTGTTCCACTTTTATATACATTAACTTCTGTAATTTGTAGCCATTAACTTTTTCCTTTTTAAGTTAATATGGTGTTGCATTTTTACTCCTCCCTTTTGCTTTACAGAAACTTCTGGAAGCAAGAAGGAAGTGGCTTCTGTCAGAACCATATTCAATTGACTCATTAAAGAGTATATGGTTTTTAGCATGTGGGAATAGTGAATGTTTCATCTAAGCAACCTTTTTTGTGGTGACTAGCCCTTTTTTGTATCCTGTGGTTAAAGAGGGTATATAATGCAAATTAAGGATCAATAAGCATGTGGAGGATTAGTCGGTGCTTAATTCATGTTCTATGCCTTTTGATTTCAAGCCAAAGTCTGTTAATTATGTTCTAAATGTTTACATGGAAAACAAAAAGGAAAAAAAAGAATTATTTTGTCTGTGTTGCTCCCTGGTCGTTGAAGTTTACATTGTTGCTATTCTGCGACTGATTTTATGCAAGTATTTTTTTTTTCTTCACGCTTGATAGCTTCCCAATATATCTCTCGTAGTTGCATGTATAGGCAGTGGGTTATAATTCAATTGAGGATGAAGATTGGGAAGCAGCTACCACTGGAGAAGAGATGAGTAAAATGGAGTCTCTTCTTCTCGATAAAAATAGGAAAATGGAACATGAACTCACACAGCTGAAGGCATGAACTGTTTTTTGGTGCTTTGCTTCCTATATTTCTTTTTCCCTATATTCTCCAACAATAGTACATGTGAATAGTATTTAGATCTTGTCCAGATGAAACCATACAGAAGTCAATATCTTGCGGATAATTGCAGTTATAATACTTTATTCATACTTGCAGAAAATTTTGGATGTTAGATTTCAATGCTTTTGATGTGTTTTAATTAACATGTACTAGCTTTGTTCATGTATCTTTCACTGGTTTTCAGGTCAAACTTTCTTAGAAAACATCTTTGCTGGAAACAGCTGAAGGAAAAATAGTAGAACTCATGAAAAAGGTTCATGAACAACAAAAGCTGATACAGAAATTAGAAGATGATATATTGAAGGTTTGGACTAGTTTCTTCAGAGATTCTGAAAATGGCAGTTTTGACCAGTTTCATTATTTCTTACAGCATTTTCCTTAGATCAGTTAGATGATTTACTGGCTGCCGCATATATGTGGAGTATCTTACACTGAAAGATTGAAACTATTAATTTATCTATGTTTCTCCTTCCATTTAATGATGTTGGACTTAACAATTCCTTGATGATGAAAGTCCCGCATACTGCAGCCATTCATTTTCATCTCGATCTTTCTTTCTTTAATGCAGGGGTATAGTTCCAAAGAAAGGAAAGGGACTCTCTTTGATGATTGGGATCTTTCTAAGAGTGGAGGGAATGAAATTTCTGAGGTATACTGGCTCTTGTTTGTCACTCTACGTGTATAAATTACCAGAATGTATAACCTCTAAAAGAGAATTTAATTATATCGAAGAAAATAGGAATTAACATAACAATTTGGTCTTTGTATTTTCTACATGTGCATTGTACTTATAGTCATATTTGCTATTTAAGCTTAACTTATAATTACGAGGGAACTTGATTCCTCAAAAGTGTATGTTGTTTATGGGGTTTTATCAAACTTGTTCTTAATCCTTTTCTTCCTTATTCCATGTCTTTATCTTTTACCTATATATATATATTCGTGTGTGGGAACAAGGGATAGTTACTGAGATGAATCGCCATCCGTCAAGATGTCAGATTACCTAATTTTTAACTGAAAAATTAGATGCGTGTGATGCATCTGTCAGCAATATTTGCTGAGTTTCTTCACTTAAATGTTATGTTAGGAAAAAAGTTAGTGTCCTATGTCCCACATACTCATTCAGTGCAGCATTGATTTACGTCTCGAGACTGCAGGGACACACATGTAAGTAATGCTGTTGAAACAATCATGATCCTCACTAGTGATGTTAAGTTATTCTTGATATTATGGATGTAAATACAGGATATGTTTTGCAAGTGAAATAATTCAATTTTCAGTGAGTTATGATTTGTTAATTCAAATCTTATTGTGGAACAGAACACAGATCACAAACAAGTTTCCTCAGATCAAGAGCAAAGCTCAATGCTGAAGGTGATATGCAATCAGCGTGATTGATTTAGGGCACGGTTGCGGGAAACTGAGGAAGTATGGTGTTTACCTTTCTGCACATAGTTGCATTTGTTTTTTTTTTATAGGAATTGAAGGCCTTATTAAAAACTCCCTTCATGATTTAAGGAACTCAAAATGAGTTCTTTTATCAGGAGGAAAAGAGTGTCTTATACTTCATTAATAAGAAACATAAGATTACAACAACAATAAAAGACCTTTACAAACAAGCGTTAAAACCCAAAATAAAATACCCCTACACACACTGTAATTAACCAATAGCAGACTTAGCTAACCCATCAGCCTCAATATTGGCTGTCCTTGCAACCCATCTAATAACACCCTCCACTTCTTTAATCTTGACTGGTATATCCCTAACAATAAAGACAAAAAGTTGGGGACACAAAGTCCCATCTTTAACCCACTCCACTGCCAATTTACAATCAGTTTCTATAATCAACCGACCCTTAATGCCTCGTCTCACTGCATCAAAGAAATGCAATCCCTTCTGAACAGCCTTTAACTCCATCAAAATAGGCGGTCCCGGGCCAGTAGCTTCCATAAAAGAGCCTAAAAGAAGAACTTCCTCATCTCTTAGAATCCCCGCAACTCCACTACTCTTCCAATCCGAACTTGTAGCTGCATCCACATTCAATTTAACACAACCCTTAGGAGGGAGTAACCAAGGGATGGAAGTGACAATCGACTTGTTGAGTGGGAAACAAGAGTCCCCAAGGGAAGGGTCACTTATAAGAGAATCCATAGAAATAATCGTGTCAGCAAACTTAGCTAAGAACCAAGATGCAAGCCTAACTCTTGCTATAAAGAATAGGTTTGTCTGGTAAAAAATCCCTCTTTTGAACACAATATCATTTCTAGCTTTCCAAACAGTCCAAATAACAACAGCAGGAATTAGCTTCCAAATAGCAGAGTTAGGATTTAGTTCTTCCCAAGCTTGGAGGAATTTCTGCGCATTCTCATGAAGAACCAAACTAAGACTCCAATATTGCACAAATTTATTCCAAACTGACCAAACCACAGCACAAGAGAAAAATAAATGAGAAGAAGATTCATCAACCAAATGACAAAGAGGACAAGACAAATCTGCAATACCCGTAACCCCTCTTTTAACCAGTTCAGTCCTCACTGGCAGCTTTTGTAGAACTACTTGCCACATAAAAAACTCAACTCTTGGGGGCACCAATCCTTTCCACAAGTTTTTCTTCCAAAAGGAACTCTCTTGGGAAGTCGAGCTACAAAACTTCACACAAGAATTAACAGTATAGACACCACCCCCGTCTCCTTTGCAAATCAGACCATCAATAGATTATGTGGACAAACAGAAATTAGAAACAATATTCATCATATTAGCCCACTGTTCAAATTCCCAATCTGCCAAACTCCTTCTCAACTAGATATTCCAAATCCATCCCGATGAACTAAATTCGCCAAATTAAATTAGTTTGCCACTCTTATTTGAAGAAATAGCAAACAGCCTCGGAAAAGAGGTCTTAAGCGGGCAGTCCAAAGCCCAATTGTCCTGCCAAAACCGAATAAACTGGCCATTCCCAACGTGAAATCTACACATGCTGTGAAACTTAGAGCCGAATGAATCTTCTTTAAAATGCGAATTCACCACTGACCTCCAAATCCAAGAAGCTTGAGTTGGAATTTTGCTATTAAACAATAGTGAAAAAGGATCCGGATTATATTTAGAGCATATCAACCTCCTCCAAACAGCATTCTTATCATTTGCAAACCTCCACGACCACTTCCCCAAAAGGGCTCTGTTCATATAACTAAAATTAATCACACCCAAACCTCCCTCATCCTTAGATTTGCACACATTAGGCCAACTAACCCAATGAATCTTATTTTTCTCTGTACCACCTCCCCATAAGAAGTTCGACATAATAGAGTTGAGATTAGAAATAACCGAGGCGGGAATTTTGAAAAGAGACAAGAAGTAAGTTGGAAGTGAACATAGAACCGATTTAATCAAGACTAACCTCCCTGCCAATGAAAGAGTGGTAGCTTTCCAACCTGCAAGTTTCTTTCTAAAATTTAAGACTACCGGATCCCAAAGAGATAGAATTCCGAGTTGCACCAAGAGGTAATCCTAAATATTCAGAAGGAAATTTCCCCATTGCACAACCAATTGACGACGCCCACTCCTCAACTTCCTCCATAACCGTATTAACACCAAATAACTTGCTTTTCTTAAGATTCAATTGCAACCCGGCCATGACTTCAAACACCCTTAGGACCCTTTTGACTTTAGAAATCTGAGTTTCGGAAGCCCCACAAAAAATAATTAGGTCATCTGCAAATTGCAGATGAGATAAATTAAATACATTCTCATCCCTCCCAATCTGCAGTCCACAAAACAGACCCTCAGAGACTGCTTTAAGAAGCAGTAAATTTAGGAGTTCCCCAACTATGTTGAATAGAAGAGGAGACAAAGAACAGCCCTGTCGGAGACCTCTTGCCTTGCCATAGGAAATTCTTGAGTAGGGACCCCATTAACCAAAATTGAAATTGAAGCTGTTGTAACACACTGTCTAATCCAGTTCCTCCATTTTCTGCCGAAGCCCATTTTCTCCATAACTATAAATAAAATAGACCAATCCACAGTATCATAAGCCTTTCTAAAATCAACTTTGAACACACAGCCTTTAAGTCCGTTTTTCCTCCAAAAGTCAACTCCCTCATTAGCTATAAGAGAGCAATCCAGAATTTGACGTCCTGGAATGAAAGCAAATTGCGTAGGACTTATCAAATCAGAAATACAATTCCTTAACCTTCTCGACAGACATTTAGATAGGATCTTGTACAGTCCTCCAACAAGGCTTATTGGTCTAAAGTCATCCAAACCACCAATATTAGACACCTTGGGAATAAGAGTAATGAAAGTATGATTTACTCCATGCTCCCAATCTTTCTCCGAATAAAAATTATGGAAAATTTTCAGAATATCGACCTTAGGAACAATCCAAAATCTCTTAAAGAAGCCCATATTTAAACCATCGGGACCGGGAGCTTTGTTGCTATCACAAGATTGTAAGGTCTCCCAAATTTCTTCCTCAGAAAATTCTTTTTCCAGAAACATACTTTGTTCCATTGAAATTCTGGAAGAATTCAATTTCAAATCTTCAACTTCCAATGTCGAGCTAGTGTTAAAAAGTCCAAAAAAGTGGTCCTTGACAGTAGCTTTGATAATAGTCGGATTTTGAATAATCTCACCATTAACATTGAGTGCACTCATGAAATTCCGCTTCCTCCTAACTGAAGCACAAGCGTGAAAATATCTTGTATTACGATCTCCTTCTACCACCCACTTAGATCTCGAGTTTTGAAGCCATATCTGTTCTTCGATTTTGTAAAGCCTCCATAATTCTAATCTCATAGCTTTCAAGTCTGCTGGAATAACAGTACCATTCGAATCCTGCATTAACTGTAAATTAACCTCTGCTAAGTGAATATTTGATTCCAAATCAGCAATTTCCACAGCTGGAAATTGATGTCTAATCCCCGCCCATTCCTTAATTGCCATTTTCGTTTTCCTCAGAATTGAAAAAATACCAACTCTGTTATTTTTATTCTTGCTGTCCTGGACAGCAGAACCAACTAAATTGTTGAACCCTTTATCATCCATCAAGTAGGAACCTGTCAAGTCTAACAAAAGTGGGAATTTCCTGATTGTTACACCATGTGAACCTCCCCCCATGAAGAGGTAAGTCTATCAAACCTGTCTGATGAAGAAAGTGACTAAAAATCCTCAAAGAATTGTAATTTTGGGCTCTCCCAACCTTCTCTTCTTCAGAAAGGTATACATTAAAATCACCTCCCACACATAGAGGGATACTTAGACCACAAATAAAAACAGCTAGCTCTTCAAAGAAAGTAGCTTTTTCTTCTTCAATAGAAGGACCATAAACATTAATAAAACCACACCTAAATTGTGAAGGGCGAAAGGTTCCAAAAATAGCAATGAACCTTTTGTTATAACTTGATTTTCCATTTCAAACAAAGACTCATCCCAACAACTCAATAAACCTCCAGAAGAACCCACTGCTGGAGATTCTGCAAACCCTTGTAAGGAATTCAAACCACTTCTTCTCAGAAAATGACTATGAATCTTCTCCATTTTCGTTTCTTGCAGCAAAAGAAAAATAGGGCGTTTACTTAAAACTAACTTTTGAACTGCTCTGTGTTTTTCCTTTCTTCCCAACCCCCTAACGTTCCAAGAAATAATAGCTAAACAAATATTAATCATAATAATAAGAAAACCAACAACCGAAGAAAACAGAAAATTATGCCCTCCTCAAATCCTCCTCCAACTTAAGAATTTTTTCCAAAAAGGTTTACTTCCCGACCTTGAAGGACACCCCCAATAGCTTACTAATTTTACAAGTAGCTAAAGCTTCCTCCAAAAGGATCAAAAAAGCTAGAGAAGAAACAGTAGCAATGCTAGCTTGATCCAAGGCCTCCCTTGTCAAAACTCTTTTGACTCTGTTAAAAAATTTCTCGGAATTGAAGTCATAGTCATCACCTTCTGAAAGCCACCCTTCACCCAAGTAAGCCAAACCAATGTCATCAGAAAGCCTCTCCACAGAAGACTCCACACCACCATCCAAATTAAATTCTGCAGGAACACTGACAGGAATAGCTGAATTATGAACCAATTCCTTTCCCTTAATCCTATCTAGAGCCTCCTCTGCTCTAGAAAAAACAAAAGGCTCATTCCCGAACCAATGTCTTCTCTCCCTAGATCTTTTATACACCCTATTATAAGAAGCAGATCTTCTCCTATCCAACGACACACTCTTTGAAGTAGATGGAGAATTAGCTCAAAAGAGCGATCTTCCCCTCGAAATCCTTTTTCCAGCATGTGCAACAGATTGTAACGCAAGAAACTGCCCCTCTTTAGGATTAACCGAACAAACCGCAAGACCTTTAACCTCAGTATCCACTAGAATAGCTGGATTAATTTTACCAAGAACAATAATGTCATCTTCCTGACCCCCCTTTTTTCCTTCTTCTATTGATACACTTATTTCTTCAATTAATTCAGACAGATTCTGCACCCTTTTTTTATTCACTGGCCTGGCCCGATTCAACTTCACAGCAGGGCCAACTGGTATAATTTTAGTAACAGGAGAATAAGACTCCCAATTAGAATCCGAATGGGCTGAAGGACTCTGGTCCTCAACCTCTCTCAGCCCAAGGCCCGCATATTCCCCCTGGGATTTAATTCAAATTCAAACTTGTCTGACACCCCAGTATTATTGGGCAGAGTGTCGGACTTCTTTTTCAAATAATGTTCCCCACCTTCTTCTGACATCTCCCTATTTTGACTGTTCTGAAGCCACGTGTTAACCTTTGACCAGAATCCCTCTGCTGAGTTCACCCTACTGTCTTCTTCCTTCTCTTTGTTTCTACCATCGTCCCCCTTTGACACATCGTCACTGCAGCTGCCACATGACAAATGCTGCCTCGCGACTCCATGGACTTCAGAGATAGAATTAGAACTGGATCCCACATTAATTTTAACCTTAAACGATCTGCCATAAGATCCTACTAAAACAGATTCTTGTACATCAAAAGGGCTTGCCACCCTTAACAACATTCTAGTCGAAGAGAGATCATCTCTGTTTCTTGTTTCCTCCAGGATACTAACAACCTTTCCCCACTTACTTCCAAGCTTCTCCAGAAAAGGTACACTCCAGCTAAGAAGCGGTAAACCAACCAACTCGACCAAACAATAAGCCAAAGGAACTCCATCTTCACACAATGGATCTACCCAATCAAACCAACAGTAAAGTTTCTCTCTAAGACTCGACCACGCCTTTAAAAACTCTTCATTTGAATTGAACATAATAATGCAAGCGTTCCTAACATATCCACACCTTACTATCTTGACCTGGAAACCCTCCTTTGCCAAAGCTCGCATCACCATATCAGGCTGAAAGGTATCTTTAAAAACCCCTGTTAAAGAATTTTTCACCCAGCAAAAATCTTCTGATGGGATGTGCATATCCCATACATTTCTTACACCATTTGCTTTCTTTTGACCTCCCCTATTCACCCTTCGTTGTTGGTCCAAACTCCTACTGTTAGCCACATTCATAACCGCCTTATATGATCTGCCATCTCTCAAACTACTCGGTTTCTCCAGATCAACCTGCTGTCTACCATTTGCATTTGTTTTCATTTTCCATTCAATGGAATTTTATTATATGCTATTTTTGGTTTCTGCAAAAATAACGTTTCTGAATGTTCCATATCTTATAGGAAATATGGCACTTAAAGGAGAAGATAGGGGAGCTAACAACAGAACTGGAGAAAACAAAAGCTGATAATGTTAAACTTTATGGAAAGATTCGCTATGTTCAGGATTATAACCATGAGAAAGTAATTTCTAGAGGATCAAAGAAGGTATATGTTGTTTTTAGTACATACCATAATTCTCACCAAGTGCCTATAGTATCTTGAAGCCGAGTTCTTGTTGATTTTTCAGTACACCAAGGATCTTTTTTTTTATAGAAGATAGGCCTCATTAAAAAACCCCTTCATATCCTACATGTTATTAGTAACATGAAGGACATAAGAAGGAGGAAAAGAGTGCCTCTGATTTTTATTAATCTGAATCATAACATACAGCCAATCCCTAACCACAGACTGCTTACAACACCATAACACTTAACAGCATAACACATACTGCATCACTATAACCAGAAGCCTTAAAAAAGCTGACTAAACACATCTTAATAACCACAACACATAACCTCTAAATCAACCTATACCAGTTTTTGCTAACTCATCCGCTTCCCAATTAGCAGCTCTCAAAATATGTCTTGAAATAATACCCTTTCCTTCCACAAAAGTAGCTACACCTCTTACCAAGGACTGAAATAAAGAGGTACATATATCTGGATTTTTAATCCACTTCAGAGCCGTGGTAGAGTCCGATTCCAAGATAATTCTCTGACTTGGAAACGATCCTACTTCTTCAATAAGAGTCAAACCTCTTTTGATCGCCAATAGCTCTGCAAGTATAGGAGGACCACCTCCAATTTTTTCAGAGAATGAACCAAGTTGCAATCCCCTGGCATCCCTAATCAATCCGCCTATTCCTCCTTTATCCCATCCCTTAGCCATTGCCCCATCAACATTTCTTCAAGAAGATATATGAGGATGATATTAATCCCTTTGCAGCTTTCTCCGAAAAGGTTGAACCCCATTCATGAATATATAGCTGTCAGATTCACATATATCAGATTCAGTAGAGAAGATTTAAAATCTTTTTCTTATTTAAATAAGAAATTTAAAATGTTTTAGTAGAGAAGATTCAGTAGGTGTTACACAGACAGTTTGTTTGCATTTAAATGATTTCGATGAGGTTAAATTTTCTTGATCACATTTCTTCAACTTCAAGTTCTTGCCACGTGTTCCATCATACCTGCCATGAATGATTAGATGGCTCTAGGGTCTTTGGAACAATGCTCAAGTCTTCTTTCCCCATGTAAATTTCAAGATAGATTCGAGATAAGATTTCATATTTACCCTTCTAGATTGCTATGGGAATTATGTTTATCAGGCAAATATAATGTAGAATCGTCCTTGTAAAGCTTTTTTTTTTTTTTTTGATAAGATTTGTAAAGCTTATTTTAATTGGGAACAAAGTTGAACATCCAAGAAATGCATACTCGCTGTTCTCTACCATCCATGCCAACTCACATGAGAATATCATAATAATCCCAGTTAGCATGTACATCCATGGAATCTTTGATTTCTTGTCATGTTTCTATTTATGCTGTTTGTTGGATATTATGTAATAATTGGTTTTGTTTATTATATAGGAGAGGGATCAAAGATACAAGGAGTTGGGCTTCAGAGACATTCACACTCGGCAGCGGACGTTTTCTTCTGGGAAACAAGTATGGGTTTGTTTCATCTTCTAATTGCTTATACAGCATATTCTTTACTGGAATGATCTTTTGCTCCCTTTCTTGCATGTTCTATCATGTGTATGCATATATGTAAAGGTGGTCGTCAGGCCGGTAGATTTGAACTTTCTTGCATTCTGACCAAGGCTTGTTTGATGATAGTCACTCTAAGTGGATTGGTCATTTCAGGCAGCAAGATTGTGTAAGGTTCATTGGCTTTGTTCGAAAGATTAGTACAGGTTAAATTTAGTAAACAAGAATGTGTTGATATATATATACATGTATTTTGTGTGTTACATCAAACAAGATATAGTAGTACCATATGACATTAATGTGGTCACCATCCTACAAGGGAGTCCGAAGCGATTCCCTCTCCACGTGAGGATGTATCCGTACTTAATTACTTAGATAGTTTGTTGATTTGCTAATGAAATGTCGCCTTTGAATTGCAGGTATGCTCGAACATTTGCATTTTTCTACACAATTGGTTTGCATATACTAGTCTTTACCTGCCTATACCGAGTGTCGGCTCTAAGTTACCTCAGGTGATGATGTCCCCTAATCTTTACGATAACTTTACCTTTGAAATTATCTGAATCGACATTTTTGGCAAATGCAGCCATGGCTCTGAGGAACCCCTCGTTGTCGAAAAAAACCTGAACCTCCCGCGCAGACATTAGCGTGGTCAACCGTTGCCATTTCTGCATTTATACTTTTGTTATTGTGAGAAGAATACGGCATTGACATACTTAATAAACTGTACATGTAACAGAATGGTGTTATGGTCCAAATCAAATAGTTGATAGTCGTCGTCCAGAATGAAGGGTTCCATTGTTTCTTTGTTTTCAAAATCCCTTTTTTGTACTTCCAATCTGAAACTTTATTTCATTTAAATTTTTAACACCTGAATCGATCTCGGAAACGAAAAAATATCCCACTCGTCTCCATATATTATATAAGCTTTTGTGCTTTTTACTTTTACCAGATTAAATAAAATACATTATATATTAAAAGAAAGGGTAATCTATGTCAAATACCATTCATCTTTAGGCTCAGGCTCGTTTATGTCAGTAATATTTTAATTTTGTCAATTTTAACACTAACATTTAAGTTTAACTGTAATTATGTCACTCCGTCGTTAATGGTGTAACGGCACGATGACATGGCACTTTCGTGTCGTGATGTTGTTGACATGGTTCTCTCACCAAAACGACGTCGTTTTGGCATGATTGTGTTGGTGCTAAAAATTCTCGAAATGACGTAGTTTTGTTTGAGAAAAATTATTAAATAATGCATTTGAAGGGATTTGAACTCATAACTTTTTGAAATAAAGGTTAATACTTGACCACTATGCCAACTTAGAATTTTTTATATAATTCTATAAACATAATATACATAAGTCATCATTTGAAAAGTTATTTTCTAAAAAGCTCATGAAATTATTAAAATTCTAAAAAACACCTTAAATTTCATAAAATTTCAAAAAACTCCTAAATTCCTAAAAATTTCAAAAACAATTTAGGGAGTCAATAACATAATATATTTGAACAGATCAATTTAGTACTTTCACTATTAAACGAATTTATTTTTCCTTGTATTAGTAAAATCGAACAGAATAATTTTTTTTATATATTTAATACTTCACTCATTGAGAATGGTTTTAAAAATAATTTTTTATATGTATTAAATATAAGAGAAAATAACCTCAGTGACCAAAAATGTCTTATAATATACGATTGTAACCAAATTTTTTTGGATTTGCCAAAATGACCAGCTAAATCGTAATGCGATCGATAATTCGCAACGCGATCTCCGGTATCGCAAATCAGTTTCCAGATTCGCAACGCGATTTTGACTATCACATTGCGATTTTCCTAATTCGTAATGCGAATACGTAAATCGCAATGCAAATATGTAAATCGCAATGTGAATCTGACTATCGCAATGCGATTTACATAGCGCCATTCGTATCCAACGCGTATTTTTTTTCAAATTCCAAACACGAATATATTAATATATCGGAACACTGAACCGTCCACAGTATATCCCGTAATCGCAACTCATAACCTAAAACCCTAAATCACAACTTAGTCTCATCTCCATCTCTCACTCTCTAAGGCGACATCCGTCCCCATCTCCGACGAAATCAGTCCCCATCTCCGACGATATCAGGCTTCATCTCCGGCGAAATCATTCACGGTTAGAAATGGAAAATCAACCAAATCAACCACCGAGGGTTAGTTTTTTTAATTATTTTTATTTTGAAATTTTTGCATTATTATTAGGTTTTTCATATTGAAATTGATGAAAAGTTTACTGGTGTTTTCAATAATAGATTAACCATTTCACTTAGATTGCTTATTAAATTCATTCGATTGTTGCCAATACTGCTAAACTGTTTAGTCTTTAACCCTGTGAAGTTAGTATTTGTCTTTGATTTGTCTTTTGGTTGAAGTAATGCAATCCATTCAAGTTTCTTTCAATTTTAGAATTTGAAACCGAGAATGACTATCGCAATGCGATTCTGTCGTTGCGATTTTCATTTCGCGTTGCAATAGTCAAATTCGCGTTGCGATAGTCATTTTCGTGTTGCGATTTTCATTTCGCGTTGCGATTCTTGCGTTGCGATAGTCAAATTCGCGTTGCGATAGTCATTTTCGTGTTGCGATAGTCATTTTCGTGTTGCGATTTTCATTTTCGTGTTGCGATTTTAAGTTTCAGAAACTATTCTTCTTCTGCAAATTGAAACTTGAATGAATTGCATTACTTCAACCAAAAAACAAAGACAAATACTAAATTCACAGTGTTGCAAATTTAAGTTTGAAGAATAAACTACTACTCTTTATGTTTATTGTTCTTGTTATATCTTCATAGTATAGTTTTTGGTATATCTAACTTGGTATGTTTATTGTTTTTCCAGAACTTTTATTCGGCTCAATTGACCTTAAGAAATAAAGTAAGCCTGGCCAAAATAATTGCGTCGAAGCTTTCACCTGCACAAAGAAAAATATTTGAGGATACTTGCTTCGGGCCATGGCTGAAAGTACAACATCTGGGTGGAGATGCTATGTTGACCCATCTGTTTCTTCAAACCATGACTAGCGATCTACCAGAGACTATACAACGTCGTGATGAAGAGATATGGTTTGATTTTTCACCGGCGTATATGTGTTTTGGGCGGGAGGAGTTTTGCTTAATCACCGGTCTACGCTTCGGACACGATGATGTAGATCGTTACACTAGACATATTACCCGCCTATCATGGTTTTCCCGGGTTTTTCCTGAGCTGTCGAATTTACACGTGGAAGACTTGACGAGATTATAGAATAAGAAATATGGTTTTACTCGGATGGATGACGTCGATGTTGTCCGAGTATGCCTTCTAATACTTTTGCAAGCCGGCTTTTTAGGCAGAGAGGCCCGATAACCTATTCCTAATGATCTAATTAAATTGGTAGAGGACCTAAATGCATGGAACCTGTTTCTGTGGGGTTCGTATCTATGGAAAGCTACATGGAATAAGTTGTCGTCTGCCTTTGATGATCGAAAAAGTTTGCGTGGCGATGATTCCAAATACACTTTGTCAGCCTTTATTTGGGCCTTTAAGGTAATAATTTTTATATAATGTTTCCAAAATTATAATTAATTCTTTAACAATTACTAATGTTTGTTATTATATTGTTTGTAGATTTGGATATTTGAGGCCTTTCTCGCTATGCAGACATATGCATTAAAAACTTCTAATGATATTCCTAGGGCTATTTCCTGGAAGAGGAAACGGTCCTTGCAGTAATGGGAAGATTTACTACCGTATACTACAATAAATAATGTAAGTTAACACAAATACTACCATATGTTTATAAACAAGTTATTACTAGTACACGTTTAACTTTGTTTGAGCTTTTATATTGTTAGGAGGCCAACACTTTATTATAGAGGCTGACACCCACAGAAGCTGAGCTTGCCACTGATTGGTGGCAAGCTAGTAAGCATTTTTTTGATGGCACGGATGATGAGCAGCCACCACTTCGAGAGCCATCACCTCACCCAGAGCCATCACCTGATCGACCCGAATATACACCTCCACAACGAGAGTCATCACCTATTCTGTCACATCATCGAGCCTCTTCTCCACCATCACCTCATGATAGGCGACCGGCAAATATGCCACGACGTTTATCTCCCTGTTCTCTACCTCCACCTCCACGGGATGAGTTAGGGGAGTTACGTAATGAGGTCAGTGCCTTGCGTGAGGAGGTCGGTACTTTACGCGATGACAATGGTGCATGGCGTGTTGAGGTGTCTACTTTACGTGGTGAGGTAGCAGCTCTACGTGAGATTGTAGCATCGTTGTAGAACGAGGTTCATACTCTACGCAACGAGAAAAGTTTAATATTTTTCATATTTAACTTGATGATAAATTTACTCGTAATTTCACTTAGATTGCTTAGTAAATTCATTCGGTTGCTGTCAATACTGTTTAACTGTTTATTCTTTAACCCTGTGAAGTTAGTATTTGTTTTTGGTTGTCTTTTGGTTGAACTAATGCAATCCATTCAAGTTTCAATTTGCAGAAGAAGAATAGTTTACTATCGCAACGAGAAAATCGCAACGAGAAAATCACAACAACAAAATCGCAACGCGAAAATGACTATCGCAATGCGAAAATGACTATCGCAATGCGAATTTGACTATCGTAATGCGAAATGAAAATCGCATTGCGATTCTCTCGTTGCGATAGTCAAATTCGCATTGCGATAGTCATTTTCGCGTTGCGATAGTCATTTTCGCGCATTGCGATTCTCTCGTTGCGATTGTCAAATTCGCATTGCAATAGTCATTTCCGTGTTGCGATAGTCATTTTCGCGTTGCGATTTTAAGTTTCAGATTCTATTCTTCTTCTGCAAATTGAAACTTGAATGAATTGCATTACTTCAACCAAAAGACAAATACTAACTTCACAGTGTTGAAAATTTAAGTTTCAAGAATAAACTACTACTCTTTATGTTGTCATTGAACCTGCACTAAACCTATATGTTATCCTTTTAAATGTTTATATAAGTGCTTACTTCTGGAATGTTATCTGATGCATTTTGTGAACAATGATATAATAATGACTTGGGAGAATACCGTGCAAGTTTGAAATATATTTGTCTTTGTTTTCATTGTTTAATATCATGTCTGTTTATTTACTGATTTATGTATTAATTTATTTTTAGCGGCCCGCTAAGGTGGATGCTCTACGTCGGGTTTTTCTTGCAAGACGAAGTTCACGTATCAGACGACGTGCACGTGCCATTACGTCTCCGTTCACCCCAATAGTGCAAAGAATCCGTAAAAAAAAGCCCGACTCACCTGTCATCGTTCAAGAGGCCTCCCCTATCGTTCAAGAGGCCCCTATCATCCATCAAGAGTCCCCTCCCACCGTTCAAGAGGCCACTGTCGTCGTTGAAGAGGTCCCTCCCAACATTTTATAGCCCGATTCATACGGCGTAATATATCGAATTATTGAGAAGCCCCCTCACGTGCCGGACATGATGGATGATTGTTGGCTTTCGTATAAGTTACTGACCAGTACCATTCCGGCAGATGAAGTGGAGAGGAAACAACTACCAGAAACAATTCTGGATAATACCCTTTGGGCTAAGACCGCAGTTGATTTTTATCTACATGAGCGGAGCCAAGGGTGTTACGCTGACATATACAAACTCAACGATGATATGCATTTGTTGATTGAACGGTCTTGGTGGAGTGTATTATTAGGGGTTGAAGACAACGGCTATTTCGATGAGGGGTAAGTCTTATATTT